CTTCTAGGATAAAATGTAAAACATCTAAAGAAGCTGACATTTCAAAAGCATCTTCTGAAAAAATGAAATGCAGTGATTTGCTTAAAATTTAGGAGCTAAAAACATCACTTCCATATAAATAAGGTAAGTATATTAAAAGTTAGACTTATTAAAAATAGTAATATGCAGCATATAAAAGCTGTGTCTGTAATATTCTGTAAAATCAACAATTTTGTTTTTAAGACTTATTCATTTGTGCTCTGAATCTGGAAGGTTCTGAAGTTATAGAATAGAATAGAATAGAATAGAATTCAACTTTGTCATTGCACATGTCACAAGTACAGGCAACGAAATGCAGTTTGCATCCATCCAGAAAGTTCTTTAGCCATAATATAGATATATTACAGAAATAGGTCTGTTATAGGTATGAGGGTACAAAATATGGGTCTGTTATGGGTATGTTACAATGTACACGGTATGAAGGTAGGTTATGACTATACTATAAGTATAAGTATGTGCAGGCTGTAGTGAGTGTACAAGCTATGAACAGGATATAATTATGAAAACTATACAGAAATATGAACTATGCAAGTTATAAACAGTTTTAAACAGTTGTAGAATTATAATTATCGTATTGCACAGAATGATTGTCCATACAGCATTTACTGTAGTGGAGTTAAGGTAAGTGAAGTATGTGGATAATGTCTACAGAGGCTATATAAAGTGCTTGTGAGTGGTGGTTCAGTCCATGTTATTATTGTGTGTATGTTGTCCATTTGTTTGTTTTTGTCCATTGTGTGTGTTTGTGTTCAGTTATATGTGCATGTCACTAAGATTCATGTCTTATTGATGATCCTGCTCATCCTATTGGCTCACTAAAGCGTATACATTCAGAGGGTTCCTTATTCAGACTAATCTCAATAGTCCGCTCAGTGCGGCATGACGTCAGGCACCCTCCATTGATTCTAAACGTAGAAGAGGATGATCAACCCACCAGGTACTGTCTGATAAATCTGCAAAAAGGGTATGAGGATATTGTCCAGTAATCCTAAGGCCACTGTAGAGTCAGCATTGGTTGGTAACCTTCAAAAGAGCCACTTTAGGGCAATTTTCTGCCACTGAAAATCTATAGGGAGCTGCAAGAATCCATATATACTAGTCTGAACGTAAAAGGTGTAAATTAAAATCTTTTGCCACATGTGACTGCTCTGCAGTGGGTTACTTACTGTATGATTATTTGGTGTCTGGTGTTATTATCATTGTTATTATTATTATTATATTACACAGCATTACATCAATGTCATGTTTGTGGTACATTTAATAAGTAAAGAGCTGAAATTCAACACTGGCTTTGAATTCACTTTCATAAATCCAATAAAAACAAAAACTGAATCTGATAGCATGTTTGGGCTTTTGAAACAGAGTAAAACTATTCAGGCCACTTTTAGTTCTACCTGTGTTTTTATGTTTTTATTTTATTTGATAATGAATAAATACCCAATTAATAGCTTTGGAAGGTCCCTTAAGAAGCCCGGAGAGCTATTCCTGAACTTACAAGGAAATTACACAAAAGCTTGTCTAAGAGAATTCAGGCTGTGACAAAGAATAAAGGCATTCATATCAGATACTGACTAAACTTATTAGAATTATAAAAACTCTGGTTTTGCCTTATATACAGTATTTCCATGTATGTTTGTAAGTTTTCAATCAATAGGTTTTTCCATTTTCCCAGAGGTGGGTAAGGTGAGCTGCTTATTATTGTTTTAGTGTTAATATACAGATAATTTAGCTTTTAGGCTCTGTTGATCTCATTCCAGTAACCAGCTGTGCTTTGCAGCGGCTGATATCAGCTACCTCACTGTCATACAGACACAGG